TCACAGAACCGGCTTTACTGACGAGATGCACATGACAATCACATGCGATTTATCGTGCAGCCCTAAGTTTGTTTGTTGATCACAAAGTACAAAGTAGATGAGGAAAACTAGGATGCTGGGTGTAGGCCTATTCAAAGCGCAGCCATTACTGTCTAGAGTGCGTGGAATGGTGCGCTGTGATTGGTTGTTACTGTTTACAGTGCGTGGAATGGTACGTTGTGATTGGTTGTTATAGTTTACAGTGCGTTAAATGTTGCGCTGTGATTGGTTGTTACTGTTTACAGTGCGTGGAATGGTGCGCTGTGATTGGTTGAGCGGATATATCGCATTCTGCAGAGAAGGGAGACTAGCGTTTGTCGCGGTTTGGAAAAAAAGGGAGAAATCATGACAGAATAACTCGGCGGATATCGCATTTTGCGTAAAGTTAAAAATTGACTTTTCAATACCGACCAGATACAATACTGATTTTGGTGGAGACTCGATTTTTTTTAAAATGGCATTTATCGCATTTTGGAACCAAACTCTTCATATATATTCAAATTAATTTCAGCAAATAAATAACTAAAACTACGTACTTTAGTAAAACTAAACATTAACTAAAATTAAAATTAAAATAGAAAAATTAAAAACTGATTCAAAAATTTATAAAAGCTCTACTACTACATGAATGATACTTAAATAACACTGCAATAGCTTAAACGTGTTATTTTGTGTGTATTTGTGATTTTTGTCTGCAGGATGTCCGGACACAGAAGACGGCAGCGGCTGCAGAAACCCGTTCAGTGTTTTCCAAGGATGCATGCGTCTCATCCGGACAGACGCCACTTTAGTGGATCTCATCCGAGTGCAGCAGATGTTGTTTGGGAATTTTAGCGATCTGCAGATGGACATGTGTGGGATCGTCGACAGGTAAGCAATTACGCTTTTATGTGAACTCGCAAAACGTTCCGCTTTCCATTTTCATCCTCGCTAAATATATGTGTTCAGCTTGATTATGTAAATACAGAGATTAATTAGCCAGAGAAATGGCACTGAATACTGATTCGCTAAAAGACGCAGACGATGAGCCTCAGGGAGACTCTGCCCTCGTTTAAATATTTATCCATCTGATCAATCGCAATGACTCACTTTTTTCTTTGTTATAAATGCAACTTTTGTTCACAGTTTAGTTCAAAAGGGTACTGTTCTTGCAGCACGGGGTTTCTGGACTTTCTGTTTATTTGTTGTTTTGCATCACCGTTTGTGACATGAATGATATCTCAAATTGTGCAGCTTGTTAAGGAGAGTTGTTACATTTTAAACTTTTGCAAAATAATTAATTTAATTTTAAATTATGCAAACAAAAATTAATATTATTTTAAATTTTAAAAACATTTTAAAATTAATTTCAAATCATTAAAAAAATATATTAATTATTTTTTATTTTATTAATTTTAAAATAATTGTATGAATTAAAAAATACTAGGTACTTTTTAAAGCAGAAGTGTGTAATTTCTGTGGCACTAACAATACTTAGGCTTGCACAATACATCTGTATCATCAGCCAATATTAGAGATTTATTTATTTTTAAGTAGCATTATGCAGTGATAATCTAAGTGTAAAAATAGAGTAAATTAACATGAACAATTAAATATCTAGTTTCCATTATTGGATATTTAATTGTTATTTAATTTAATTTAATATTTTTTAAATAATTAATTTAATAATAATAATAATAATAATAATTACATTTAATATTTAATTATTTAATTGCATGCTTATTTCACCTTTTTTATCATGAAAAACTCACTAAACGTTAACTTTTTTTAAACTTTAATAATTTAAGTGGTAGATGTAATTATTTTAATAATGTAAACAACATAATTATTTAAACATTTAAACAAATGTATATTTAACAAATATAAGAATGCATTTTTTGTACATTATAATTTATGCATTGCATTTAAAAAGATTGTTTTGTTTTTATTTATTCAGACAAAATCTTTTAGAATTTTGTTTTTAATTAATCAGTTTTTTAAGTATAAAGACTGAAAATATATTGTCTTTTAAAACATATGCAAATTAAATAGCATGTTAAGGTAACTTTTAAATATGTACACAATGGTAATTCAACGTGCTTTGCATAAAACATTTTGAAAATAATCAAAACATTAATAAAACTTAATTACAAGTTTTACATTTATTAAAAACAAATAGGAATAATAGAGAATAATGCATACATAATATGGTACAAAGCAAAAATTACGTAGACATTTTATGTGAACTTGACATAGCTTGTACTGTTTTTGCAGTCATAGTTCAGCAATATGGGTTTTTCAATGGAAATGAGATGAACTTGCTGACATGAAATGCCTTTTATAGCCTATAACTGTATATTTTCCATTGACAAGGCTGTCTGTAGATTTTGGCTGTTTTTGTGCTGTTCTACCAAGTCTACGTTGTTGTTATCAAATATTGGCCTGGCTAGTATGTAACTAGTATGCAGTATGTTTACTGTACACATTATCTAGTCTCTCTAGACTGCCAAAGATGAGATATTTTCACACAAAGCTGGATTAAAATCACAAAATGACTTTATTCACTGGCCGTCGCTGACTCTTTTATCGTTGCACAAGGTTTCACATGCTGTTTGAATGAATAGTAGGCTGGTTTTAGTATATACTGCAGGACTGATTGTGATGGTGTTTCTGTCCTGTTGACCTCTGTTCGTTTCATGACAGTGAATGTTTGCTTCATTTGGCTTGATGCAGAAATGGCTTTCTTTTGCTTTGAGACTGCAGTGAATCTCCTGAAGACGAGGCTGTTTTTGTGACAGAGCAATTTCTTTCTTCTGTGTGTTTGATGGGCACTAAATGCGCCGCTGTGACCGAGCCGTTCAGAGTGAAGGGGAAGCTGTGGCGCACACACTCGCGTCTCAAGTGAATATTGTTTTTGACTCGATGCAGATGTAGATGCGTTGTCTCTGAAAGCTGCGTCGCCTCTGGGTTCTCGTTTACATTCTGAAAGGTCCCGCTTTCGTCTGTCATACTGAAGACTTCTGGGATTGCTGTTTGTTCGTTTGTTTAAACGGTTTATTGTGTTTTTAGCGATGTTTGCACAGCTATTGCAGCATAGAGTTAGTGATCATTCTGCATCGTTTGTGGCATGAATATCTTAAATTGCATGGCTTGTTAAGGAGAATTGTTCTTTTACATATCTTTTACATTTTTTTATTATTTAAAAATATTACACATTATTTTTCATTTGAAAAATATTTTTTCTATTTGTATTATTTAAACTAATTTAAATTTATTTAAAAATATTTGAGTTGAATTACTGAAATAAATGAACTTTTCCACGACATTCTAATTTATTGAGATGCACCTGTAGTTTTAAAATATTAAAATATTTGTGTTCATTTATATATTACACTTAGATCACCTTTGTTATTGTGAAAACACAAATGTAATTTTTTTAACATGTAAACAAATGTACATTTAACAATTCTCAGAATAAATATACATTTTTCATACTCTACACTGTAAAAAAATAAAGTTTTAAGTAAAAAAAAAAAGTAAATAAAATATTAGAATATTATTTCAGTCTCTCTACTTTATTTTATTTTTTATTTTATTTTTTCTAAATTTCAAAATTAAATTAGTTGTGAAATTTCTGCCAGTTTTTCAGTGCATCAAAATGTTTTTCAAATGTATAATGTTACATTTTAAAAGACTGATTTTAGTTTTTTAGTGTTTTCATTTTTTTTATCGTGTGGAATTTTATTGTAATTTTATTGTTTGTTTTTGTCATTTTTAGTAGTTAGTGTTTTTTATTTGTTTCATTTTTTAGTTTTTATACTGTTTATACTGTTTTATTTTTAGTTATTTTTTGGGTTGGGAATCGAAAATCGATTCTGACTCCAGAATCGGATACTTAAGGTCAGGAATCGGATACTTGTTGTCAAATTAAAATTTTGATTCCGCCTATCGATTCCTATGCACTTTTTTTTTTCTTCATCTGTGAGGACCGGACCTGGCGATCTGCCAGGACCTTGCTCGCTAATCTAAGCGCTCCAAAGTTTGGCTACATTTGCGATCAGAAGCCAAAAAAGCTAAGTATAATATCTGTGATAGCTAAACATGTTGCAAGAGAGGTGTCACCACCAATATGACAAAGCACTTTAATTTAATCGATTGTTAAAGATTGCAAACACGATTCAAACACCAACGTGATTCTATTCCTAAATTACAATGATTCATCTGTTTCATTCCTCAAGCTTTGATGTGTGTGATCAATGTTGTGATCATGTGGTTCGTCCGTGCAGCGTACGATCACATCAGTGTGATTTGAACATTTAAATCTGCGTCTGTGCTGCTATTGACCTAAAGAGAGCAGCTGTCTGTCATGAATGAAACAGCTTCAGTCTTTTCAACCACACAGTATCATTATTTCGGTGTTACAAACATTCAAATCACAGAAGTTCTGGGATAAAAGTTTATAGTTCAGATATAAACTGTGTGTACGATGTGTATGGTAGTGATTAAAATAGAGTAAATCACCTTTTGAAAGTAATTTGACACTTCAAATGAAGATTTATCGATTATTACATTGTTATGCCAGTAGGTGGAGAAAAGGGGCTGTTCAAATGTATTTGTCTTTGAATCATACAAGAGATTCGTTCAAGAATGCTGATTCATCCAGTAATGAAACAAGTACATCTTGAGTAAGTCATTTAATCATTAATTCATAAATTACATGCCTGTTGTAGCCTGTTGAATTTTGTTAATGGTATTCAGCTCCAAATAAATGGTTTGCAAAAAAGAGACACAGGATAAA